TCTACGTGGTCGAATGTGACGGGTGGCAACTTGTGTAGCTCCTTCGCCACGAATGTCGGCACGTCGTCAGGGTCGGTCGCCTTCAGAAAGGTGATGATGTCTTGGACGCTCTTATCCGTACCATCTCTCCTCCTCGATGGCATTTGGTCGAGCTTCCCAGTCGTCTGGTAGAGTAGCATCTTGCCTTTGCTGATCTCGTCTTCTTTGAAACTCGACCTACAAATCTGCATGATGCTGATTTCGTCCATGGTGTCGATAGCATTTTGTATAAACGCCAATAGCTCGTTTGCGATAAGTTGTTGTGAACTCATTGCGAAATATCGGGCAGCGACTTACGCCGCGACCTTTACGTACAACTGCAACAACACGTCCGTATTCGAGCGCGCATCGCACTTTTAACGCTTGCCATCTGAACTGAGGCTTACTCTATTCTCGCCGCACGGGAGTTTAAAGATGTTCAGCCTTTGACTGCCGACAGAAAACTGCTAAAAGCAAATCCTCCGCTAACGTAGGTCACCGGTGACCAACGTGGCTAACGTGTTAATGGGTGTTAAATTGTTTTCAAAGGGACAAAGCAACTGTTTACCGAAACATAATATCCTTTACTTATTTAAGTAATTTAGCAATAAAGTACAGAACATTGTACTTTATAATCTCAAGTTTTTGCCTTTATAAGTTAGCAAGTTACTAAGTTCTAAGTAATTATGTACAGTGAAGAATCATCAGGTTAATTATTTATGTAAATCGTTCCCTTTTGAAGCGAAGTTTGAGTAAACTCGCGTCCAAGTTCGGGTTTCCAGTTTTAGTTGTAAACGTAGTTAGTTGTAAAGTGTGTTAGAAGAATATTTTTCCTTATCTGTCAGTTGAAAAAGAGTTTCGCTAGAAGTTTTAAGATTTTTTTATGGAAGAAACCGGTAAACGAGCAGACGGATCACCTGGTGGTAAGCAATTGGTACCGCCCATGTTAAATTGGATTCCCGAATCATCGGAGGTGTTACAAATGCGATACCGGCCTTTCCGGATTTGAGGATTGGGTAGATTGATGTGATTGGGCCTCTGGTAACCTCACTCAAACGAGGAAACACAACGCAAGTATTGTTTCACGTCGATTATCTGAGAGGCCGTGGTACCACTCGTCTAGTCGAGTCGGTTTATTCATGCCGCAGCTTCCCACACTTAAAGATGTAGTTAACTGCACAATGTGGTATGTAGAAACGGTATAAGAATACAAGTAAAAGAATACATGATCACCAGCTCTGCTGCTCTGTTTGTGGGTATTATGACAACCGACTAAGGCACTTCCAGATAGAAGCAGATAAACCTGGAAACTTTCAAACATGCCTATCAAACATGGAGATTATGATGAACAATAGGATATTTATTATATTAAAGTTCTAGCTGTGGCAACATCACATGATGACGTTGAAGAAAACTTAAAGATAGTAGTAGAGTAAGTAAGTAAAAAAGTAAAGAAGTAAACGTGTATTTATTTAATATTCCATGCTTTGAACAGCAAAATAATATGGCACGGCTGCTTCCTCCCAATGCAGTTTAGCATTGAATATTTATTCTGATCGGAAAACACTACTGGAAATGACTTTCAAATTAAATATGCGACACGTAGCTTCGTGTTCACTGCAAAAATATTTCATGCTAGAACCATTTCAGTTTCAAGCACTTCAATTTTATACTGGAACGTGAATTATTAACTTTGTTTTGTTAAAATATTGTAATATTACGTTTTATATTAAAAATGTTAGTGATATCTAATACGAAGAATCAATTGAGCTCGTACCAGGATATCATAACTTTTGAAGAAGTCAATAGGAACAGGTGCTATTAAGTTACCTATTTCAAATGACAACATTCGCAGCTGTATCATATGACAGAACACTTGTGTAGCGAAAACCACTAAACTTGAACTTAAATCGTCACTAACGAACCATATTTATGGCCAGTTATCCATCATCAAAAAATTTTTCCATAGTATTGCCCATTTTTTATATCATTTTAGTATAATAATATGTATTATATGTAGTCTGTAAGTTTTATTGATTGTTTAATTGTTCTTCTATTTTGTTTTTCTTTTATTGTGCATCTATCACCCATTCCCAGATTCTTTTCAAAAATTTCATCTGAAGGTTGTCTGGAAGAAATCGCCGCGTGTGATAAGAAGCAATAGATTTAAGTACAATGGGCATTGTTCTACTAGTTTCGAACCACAGAGGGGTTCTTTCGCATGAGCAGCGTGCGCCGTCGCGGCGATGTCGCGCAGCCCACGCAACTAGTAGAGCTTTTCTCAGTATATTCACAGGGAGTAACCCGCGATTTTTAGGTAATTTAGTATGTCTCACGATAGTTATTATAAAAACATTTTATAAAGTTCATAATATTATGTCAATCTTCTTTCTCTAATACCTGAGCAAATCTACCAAGAAACTGGGTTTTGAAACTGGCTGGTCACCTCTATGGGTAAAATGAAGTCTAAAATAATGTCTAATTAAAATTTCACTCATCGTAACTAATCAAATGATCGGGGCAGCGAACCGTGACGTCATCGGCAGTGCATCGCCACTTCTACGTCAGTGCGTGCCGCAGCGTGCCAGCGCGGCTCTTGTCATGCGTGCACAGGGTGATTTATATTTAGTAAAAGCACGGTGCATAAACTAATTTGAATTACTCGATGAACCATTTTATTGAAATATTAAAGGGGATAAATGATAAACGTATAACGTTAATGTTTTAACTCGTCGAGTACCGTCATTATAGACACAATTATAGAACAATAGCTTGCGGTCACCGGTGACCGCTTGGTGTTTGACAGTTTAAATAAGTGTTGGGTTTCAGTTTCAACGCCCAGTTTCGAGTTAAATTTGGTCTATAATAAGTATTTATAATTAATTAATAACATAACATCACGCCTTTTATCTCCAAAGGGGTAGGCAGAGGTGCACATTATGCCACTGTACAATATAACACCCACTTTTCACTATTTATGTTATGAGTCCCATGTAATAGGGGGTTAGCCTAATGCCGGGCACAATTCTAGACTCCGTGCTACTCCTGGTATTTTTTCAGTAGTAATACTTTACCCGACCCGGGAATCGAACCCGATACCCCTTTCCCGGCAGTCGCACTTACGACCATTATTTTTTTATTTACGATTTTATTCACTTAATTAATATAACCATAATTAATTATTAAACTAAATAAATGGGAATACCGTGTAACCTGGTAACTCTTTAGTCTTTGTTTCAATATGTCCTATTACACCGGGCAAGTTAACAAGAATATAATAAGGGCAATCTTCCATAATTTAATGTTGAGCTACACAATTGTTTGGAACACCATTATTTATTAAAATTGCGAATAATAAAATGGTTCACTCTGTATATCTGCATCTAATAATATCCCGCAGATGTTGTGCAACGGGTCGCCGTCTGTACTCTCAGTCATTGACATTAATTACTTTGCCTACATTAAATTATGATGTAACGCTCTTTAGATATTATGCTAGCCTAGTACTTCATATTGTGAATGGTGTGATGTAGGCATACTAGAGAAAACCCGCTTGAAAAACTGTAGAGTCCATTTCACGAAAGAAGTCCCGCGGACAATTGTGGAACTAAATTTGACAAATGGGGAGTTCGGCCATGTTGTCGTTTGTCGATGTTGTCAAGGTGGGTTTGTTGTGGTAGATATTTTGTGAGTTTATTATTAAATTAGTGCATTATAAGGTTTATTTACGATGCCAAAAGTTGTAAAAAGTGCAGGTCGAGAAATGATATTAAAATTGAAAGAGTTCTGTGAAGCGGAACAGAAGAATCGCGGCGTTTTAATACCATTAGACAATGTTCGCAAAAGAGTTGCCGCCATAACAGGTAAATTTTGGGGCTGCCATATTAAACATATTTTTTACCAATTAGACTTAAGTTTTTTTAATGAGGAATTAACATAACACAACAAAAATTTGTAAAATTGTATTCAACAATAATATAATTAAATGCGGAAAAAGTCACTGTTAGATTTTTTTTAATTGTTCATTTTATTGCAGGTGTGTCGGAGAGTCGTGTGTTATAAACAGACGGGTAGCGGTTAAAAACGTGGGCCAAGATCCAAAAGAAATTGTACGCCTAACAGAAGAGGCGTTCGAGACTGTTACAGCGGAAGATTGGGCAGTTCAATGCAAACATGTACAGCATTTGGAGGAAGAATATTTAAAAAATGATGGTCTTATGGATGAAGAAATGCATCGATTTATTATATCTACGGCTAGTGATAATGAAACAGAATCTAATTCTGTTTCTATTCACTCTTCTGACAGTGATCATAGTATGACCGATCATAATTATTCAATAAAACTTTAATAAAACTTTTTAAATGTTATTTTATGTTTCTAATTTGATGTTGGTTGAACATCTTTATTTCCATTTTATATTTTAGAAATTACAGGAAGATTAATTTTTCACTAATCTGACCTTAGCAGTATAAACATAAATACCTATATAAAAAGACATTATTTTTAAAATATTCCTCGAACTGTTCGAGTACGTAGTTAATCAAACTAATGTCAATTTCTCCTGATTTCCCCATACTATGTAAATTTAACCGTGGCAACATTATGTCGCGCGAATACAGCGCTGCGTCTGCGGGACTTCTTTCGTGAAATGGACTCTATATAACTTTAGCTGATATTTTTTTTTTGTGAATCTAAATAATTTGGATATAGTAAATAAAAGATTTATTTTGGTTTATTTTTTCAAAATGTTGCTCTAAAACAATGTTATATTAGCATCACCAACCAACCTTGAACGGAGAACGCGGACCCAACAAAAATCTAACCAAAATTGTACTAAAATTCTCAACCTTCAATTATCAAATTTATTTCTTTAGAATTACAGTCGAAAACCTATTAAAGAAACACCAATTAAAATATGAGAGCAGACTGCATCTATGTTCTGAAACCTTCCATTGTTCTAAATGATTAAACCTCTTTACAGAAGAGATCCTGGGATCCCGCACAGCGCTGTGGATGTCGGCAGACGGCCATATGGTGCTATATGCTACGTTTAATGATACCCTGGTACATGAACAGAAGTACCCGTGGTACGGAGCAGCTTTAGACACTGATGATCCTGCTAAGGTAAATTAAAAGTTATGTTCTGAGCTTATATAATATAAATATATTTATTTGATAAATGCATCCGAAAATACAATATTATTTTTTGTTTCCTGTAACGATTTGTAACAATAACCAAATTAATTGAATTTAAAATCATAACCGAGAAATTATCAACAGTATTACAATATTTGTGTTAATTTTGTAAAATTTTTTGGATTTCTTTTTAAACTAATCGTTTTTCTTCACTCAGACATACCCGGAGATCAGAAGCGTGAGGTACCCAAAGCCTGGTACCAACAACCCTACAGTGACGCTTACAGTCGCAGACATCGCAGATCCGAAACACATTCGCACTCGACACCTTACACCACCCAAAGTTATTATAGAAGAGGGGTAAGTTCTCCATTTTACTTTCCAATAATCGCAGCAGAATAAAATATTCTGAGAAAGTTCTGTTTCCATCTGTCACAAGACAAATTATTTCTTTTAACGACCTCCTCAGAATTTTGGTCTCCTAGTAAAAAGTTAACCAATTGCCTAAAAATGATAAGTTATTTTTATTTCTGATACAATTTGTAAAATACAAGATATAATCTGTTGCTTATTATAATAACATCTATTCCAATATACCAATACCGCGTATTATTATTACAAAATCCCTAGTTAAATTTTATGTAGACTAGCTATCTCGTATCTCCATATAAAACGAAGAATATGAACCTTACAGCAGCTTTAAGCCGCTGCAAGCTCTAAACTGCGCTAGATAATTGAGCTAAATACACAGATATACAGTAGAACATGAAATGGTCTTCATTGCATGTTCTTAAAACATTGGTCATGAGTTAAGGGGCATGCATAAAATGTGTCTGCTAATCAAGGCGTCTCGGACTCGATTCACGAGTCAAGCGAAGTAATATTAGGCTATTTTTTGTTTTCTTTTTTAATATCTTAATTCTCATAGGACTCCACTAGAGTGTGAATGAACTTGAATTGTGCTCGGCGTAGGCCATAAAGACCAAAGTATACCATAATATGAATATTGGTGTAAAATGGGTGAACAATTTAAGGCAGAAAGAAATGGCATTTTATATTGAAAATCCGCACTAAATAGACAAGAAAATCATAGCAAAACATAAAAAAATAATGTATATAGCATATTTTGTCTACTCTTTACATCTGTGGCTGAAACATTATAAAATATGATACAAAATGGAGATGGCTCGTATTTTGTTTGCATAATATAGGGGTATGAGGTTTAACTAATAACAAAATAATAGGATAGTTTAATATTTGTATTGAACAGTATAATTAGTATTGTAGGTTTATTTGTAGAAGTTGTCGATATTTCTACAGTAGGTATTTTATAGTTCAATGCGGTTACAAGTCATTTATTTTGTTAAATGTCCTTCTTGTATAAAGTGTATTTTGAAAAATAATGGTCG